TGGAAAATGAAATTAAATATTGGAAAATGAAATTAAATATTGGAAAAGACTGAGAATATTTTTGAATTTAACCTGTTAGAGACCTGCAAGTAAATATTTTGCAGACAACTCACGGGAGCAACACAGATACAGTTGATCCTGCTTTGGAATAGGAGAGAAAGTAGGCAATTTATCAAGGTCCTTTCTAGCCTTTTCTTCTGATTTCACATGATAATGGTTTGAATCTCTGAGTAGAGATATACTAGGACTTAAAGTATATACTTTGGGGTTGAACACACACCAAATAATGAGTAATAGCAGGGAAGATTAGCTCTAGGAAACACTGGACTGACTTTTAACACCTTTAATTGTAATTTTAAATTAATACGAAAGTACGTTATCTTTCAAACTTTTGAACTTTGATGAATGAGAAGTGCAATAGCTGTTAAATTTTCAATAATTTTGAGCCATATTTTGGGTATGTCCAAGGCCTTTAGAGACTGTCCAAAAATGATATGATTTCTCCTGCTTCCAGATTGTGGTTGAAATTATGAGCATACTTTGTATCAAGGTGCAGGTTTATCTTTTGTACAAATATAATTCACAAACCTTATCTGGGATCAGCCTGTTTAATAGTGAATTTAGGCTTCCACAAAACCTAAAATACAGCCAAGCAGTTGTGGTAGGATTGATCAGAGGTATTAAAGCAAATGTACTGTGAACCACTATTCAAAACAGCTCTTTATTGATTATTCATCTCTCTCTCCTTCTCAGTAGTTTTGCTTTTTCCAAACTAGACGTTGTCAGTTGATAATCTCAGCTTTAAATGCATGGCAGAAACAAAGAAGGTATGATAGGTAGTATGGAGTTAATGGTGAAAATGTCTCTTTGAACGATCCTTTGCCTTTTATTATTTAGTGTAATTTAGAGGATGCGTAGCTGCAAACCAGGCATGCAAACTTAGATACAATTTAGGGTGAAGTCTTTAATGCCAGCAGCTCTTCCAAGGGAAGAACAGTTTTAATGTGCCTGCCTTTCAGGTGTGTCAGAAGAATGTGCTACAGTAAACTGCAAATGGGACGTACAGAAGATTTTCCTGTTTCCAATACAGAAAATCTTAAGAGTATTTCCATTTATTAATGCAGTTACTAGCTCAGGGGATGGCATAGTTTTTACTATCATTGAAATTCCATTTCCTGGTTAAATTCACATAGTTTTTTAGTGCAGAATTGTTTGTAAATGAAATCTGAAGGTGAGGTGATTTGTTGATTATGATTATTTCTGTAAATGTTGTCACAGTCCAGTGAAACTGTGCTCAGTAGTGTTTTATCTCAAATCTGCAGTGACAGTAAATCAAGATCTCTTGAAGTAAGAAACCCATGTTAAATTGCTGCAAAGTATGATTTATGATAATCTGCTGATGTGGGAGGTTTGGGGGACGAAAATAGGAAATTATTGATTCAAATGACCCTGTTTCTCTTCTGTTGGGACATAACCCTGCTAATAATACAGTAAAATATTTAGGCTTTTTTATCGTCCTACACCATATAACTCAGGTCATGATTCCCAATGTTCTTATCCAAGGGCAAGTGAGATGTTTATGTTAAGGCTTGAGTGAAGTTTAAGGGTTCTAAAGGCAAGTTTGGGGCACTGACTACTAACCTTGATTGTACCTTAGCATAAACTTCCCTTTATTCATATCACTTCAGCTGGATATATGTAGTATCCATATATCTGCTGCCCTCAAGTAGGAGGTAAATGTTAAGCTTAGATTTTGCAGTGATAGCTGTTAACGGTATTTGGGCAAAAGATCTCTTTGCTGCATCATAAAGTCAGTGTATTCTAGGCCAAAGGCACTTGAATTGGATTCTGTTTTCCTCTTTAAAGGCTACTTAAATGTAGGCCTTAAGAAGGTTTTTGTTGCTGAATGTGTTCTTGATGGCTGCTTCTGAAAGTAAATAT